AAAAAAAAATTTACTACAACAAAACTTCACAGCGATCTAGTATTTATTTACACGGTTCTTTTCCTTTTCCTTTTGTTCCATTGGTCAACACAACGAGGGTCGCCTATCGCCCACCTCCATAATAATCTCCACAAGATTCGATCCCAAGTTTTCACTGGAATGAGCCAGCAACCACGAAACCAATAGGGATGATCATGGGCTGGGCTAAGCTGGGCCAGGGCCAGATTTTGCTTTGGTGATAAGGGCTTTATCCAAACCCTGGGCCCAGCCTGTTCTGCACCTTGGGCCTAGATTGCAATCCCAAGAGCAGCCTATCGCCCACCCCCATAATAATCTCCACAAGATTCGATCCCAAGTTTTCGATGGAATGAGCCAGCAACCACGAAACCACTAGGGATGATCATGGGCTGGGCTGAGCTGGGCCAGGGCCAATTTTCGCATTGATAAGGGCTTTATCCAAACCCTGGGCCCAGTTTTGCACTTTGGGCCTAGATTGCAATCCCATGAGCAGCCCTAAATGGGCCCGGGCCAGGTTCACAGGCTTTCTAGGCCTAATGACTTTGGATCCAATGAATCTAATAACAGTTTAGTTAGCTGGAAATTTTCAAGTAATTTTGCTCACAAGATGAATGTGGATGGGGCTTGTCGTGGCAATCCTGATGAAGGAGGAGGTGGGGGTTTACTTAAAAACTCTTTTGGAACTCTCATATTTGCTTTTCACTGTTACTATTGTCAATCTACCTTTATTCAAGCAGAATTTTTAGCTCTGTATGATGGTCTAAGCCTTTGTTTGCAAAGAGGCTATAAAGAGATTAAGGTTGAAAGTGATAACAGGATAATTTTTAGCATTCTAATGGGTAAATTAGATTATCCTTGGAATTCTGTTTACATCTTGTGCAAGATTAAGAATTTAGTGCAGAGAATGAATATTAGGTGGACCCATATCTTAAGAGAGGGAATTTGGGTGGACCTGAGATGGTGAGGGAGAGCTATGCATGCTTGGGTTATGGGGCAAGGCGGCCTAAGTCCTCCCTTGTTATTACAAATTTTCCTTTTGAAAATGCTTAATAAAATTTAAGGTGATCGCCCCTCCACCTAGAGTAAAGTTTGGGGTAAAAAAAAAAAAACAGTTTAGTTATTTAAAATTTTTTAAATTAATTAACATATAATACATGAAAAGTATCGCACAAGTTTAAGTTTGGTTGGACTTAGCTAGAATTTGGGCCTATAGTGCAAAAAATAAGGCATTGACTATTCCCCATAGCCGGGATGAGCCCAAACTGGGCTTGAAGTGTTGTGTCCAAGCCAATCCAAAAAATTTCTGGGCCCAAACCGGATTTGCACACAAAAACCTAGGCTTGGGTCTGGGCCAGGCCAAGAATGATCACTCGGCCATGATTCTTTCCTTGTTCTGTTTTTCATCGGTCAAATATATATTTAAAATTTAAAGTTTCAACTCAAGCCAGCTCTAGGCCCAATCATAAGATCAGGACCTTAGGCTCCAATTTGGTCCAACCCTAGCTCAAAGCCAACTTTTCCAACTCAAGCCCAGTCTAAGCTAAATCCAAGACAGCTCAAGCTGGGCTTGGGCTTCATAGTCTAATATAAATCAACACAAAAAAATTGTTTACACACATATGTAATCGGGTCAGGCTTGAATTGGAAAAAAGTCGGGCCAGGTTTGAATTGACTAAGGGTTAGACTTGAATCAAGCCCAAAAAATTAAAAACCCAAACTTTTAGACCCAGATCCAGTCCAATGGTAAAAATCCAAGCCCGTGTACAATTATATACTGGATCGGTCCGGGCTTGGGTTGGGCCCAGCCAAACTGCACATCTAATATGCCAAAGAGTTGTAACAGAAGGGTCCAATAGTAATTTGACTACATCCAGAGCATCACATTCATTGAAGATGCATTGAAAAGTTCAGCCTCGACATGTTTACATAATCTGAATAAGTTTGGCGGCCTTGGAATAAAATGTCTAAAAAATGTAGATATAATTAGGCTGTGTTTGGTTGCAATTCAAATAAATTTACACCGATACAAAATTATGGCAGTACAGATGATTTGAGTGTAAATTCCGACTTATTTTTGTTTCAAATTTTAGCTTATGTTGTTTGATTGTAGCATAAGCGAAGTAAATTAAGACATGAAACAGAATAAAATAAAACCCAAAACAAAATTAAATGAGAATTTGCATTTTTTTTATTTGTACTCCCATTTATTTCTACTAGTGCAAATAAAAATGCACTKCAACCAAATACAGCCTAAGACTCAGTTTGGGAATAGTGTTAGGTATTTATAGACCTTGTATATATTTACACTGTACATTTTGTATATGCACTCTCTTTTAAATTGTCTAATGCTCATTTTGGTAAGAGTATAAATACAAATATGTATAGTATAAATACATATAAAATAATACAAAATACAAGGATTTGCACTCTACATATTTGTATTTATACTCCTTCCAAACTGAGACTAAGGCTCCGGTTGGAAAGAGTGTAAATACAAAAATGTACAATGCAAAGCCTTATATTTTGTACTTCTATATCTGTATTTGCACTGTACATGTTTGTCTTTGTATTCTTTCCAACCTTAATATAAAGCACAGTTTGGAAGAGGTACAAATTAATACAAATATGCAGAGTGCATAACCTTGTATTTTTGTATTATTTTCTATGTATTTGCATTGCATATATTTGTATTTATACTCCTTTCAAACTGAACCTAAGGCTGTGGTTGTTGCAGTGCAAATTTATTTACACTAGTATAAATACATGAGAGTGCAAATTAAAAATATGCAAATTCTCATTTTTATTTTGGGTTTTACTTTATTCTGCTTCATGTCTTGATTTACTTCATTTGTACTGTAATCAAACAAAATAAACTAAAATTTGAAATAAAAATACATTAAAAGTTACACTCAAATCATTTGCACTGTCATAGTTTTGCAGCAGTGTAAATTTATTTGCATTGCAACCAAACACAGCCTAAGTCTCAGTTTGAAAGGAGTATAAATACAAATATGTAGATTAAAAACATTGTATTTTATATTATTTTGTATGTATTTGCAGGGTACATAATTTATATTTGTATTCTTTCCAAACAGAGACTAAAATGCAGTCTTAGCTCATCATAAAAGAGATTAAAATCTGGGTAAAGGCATTCAAATAAAAGTACTCTCGGTACTTGGATACAAATGTGAAGTCAGTGTCATCAATGAAAAGGTTTTTGTTAAAGGAGGGAGGTTCACGCATAGCGATTAGGGTTGCAATTTGGATACAAATGGGAGCCTGGTACTCTACCCAACTTGTACTCCTATTGAAGGGTTCCATATCTACAAAATTTCAAAATGCAAGGCCAGAAGTAAGGTGCACATGATTATTTATCAAAGTATTCAATCCACAGGTTGAGACATAGATTTGACCAATGATCTAAATTTCTAAATAAAAGAACACTTGGTCTAAGCTGGTGCAAAGAAAAGGGTGAGCATGGGTTGTTTCGGTTCAGTTTCATGACAGAATTTGTACAGGGTTGGTTTCATATTTTTGGAACTAGAACCTATCATGTAAAAGTTGGTTTCAATGCCAGCTTTGATCTTGGTTGTTTTGGAGACGGTTCTAAGATCTACCCATGGAACCTATTCTTTCTTTACTCCACCCCCGTTAATAAAACATGTTCATTAAAAACTTGACTGTCAATAAATATAATATGTAGTTTAAAACTTATATTATACACATTCAAATAGTAAAATGAAAACAAATGATTAAATAACTTAAGTAATTCAATGGCCTTTCTAAACATGACTGCTTGGGTTTAAATCTTTTTATCTTAAAAGTATTTTGTGGCTTATTTCAAGGCAAGTTTATTTCCAAGGCAATTTAATTACACCAAGATCAATTGATCGGGATGGTTTGGGTAGAGTAAACCCCTAGACCTTGGAACCAGCCTAGGTGGAGGCTAGTTCCAAAAATTTAGAACCAAACCCTACCCTGTAACAAATTGGGTATAGAGTCGATTCAAGACCAATTTGAAGTTGATTCCATTCAATTCCAAATAGAATCTACCCATTTACTCACCCCGAAAAATCATGACGTTTTAGGTCAAAATTAATTTAGTTAATTGACCTAAAAAGATAATTATGTTTTGTCAATTATCATTAGACAATATACAAAATGATACATCACTTTGCCCTCTCTGCACCAAAACATAGGGCTATAAAAAGATCTAGTAGAATCGAATATGGGTAGATTACACAATAGATTCGCCTGTATTTGAATATAAGTTGGATCTTATCTCTATTGATATATCAGATTTTAATCAAAATTTGGATTGTGTTTCGATGATGAATAGTATAAATAAGTCAAGTATATGGGGTGAATCCATAGTGAATCACTTTCAATAAGATTAAACTAGAATTCAAGTTAAGATAAACAGATACCTAAAACACTAGCAAATCTGACAACGTTTTTCGTGCGTGGCCGGCTTGGGTTTTTTATCCTTTTTCCTTTTTAGTATTACATAGTACAAAATGAATGGAGAATCAACAGGGGTTGAAATAGATCAGAGCAGAGCAAGGTTTACATGTGGTCTTGTGGCAATACTACAAATAGCCCGCATTTCCATGGTTTGGATCCAAAGTCTCTGTATTTGGATTGATGCAGAATGATCAGAGAGGGATCTACTTTCTCCTTTTTTATTTTTCACATAAAACCCTCATAATTCATCTTATTCCTTCATGCCCCCTAAACTTTATTTGTCAACTTAATTATGCTAATAGTCAACTTTTTTTATTTTCCTTCAACCAAGTAGAAATCCATTAGCTATTTAGTAGGATTTGTGAATTAATAACTAAAATGTATAAAACACACTTATGGTGAAACAGTAAGGACATAAGCATGAGAGAGGACACACAACACAAATGCAATACTCGTTAGAATGCAACAACTAAAGTTTCTAATATCTATATCTTAGTAAATATGACTAGAGGGATGGATTCTGCAGTAATGGTTGTTCATCAACTTGTGTTTTGAAACTATTTTCTATACTTTTGCATCCTGTTGAAGTTGAACATGTATCCCAAAGGCCCATTGGTTTATCTATGATGCATTCTACCTCTTGAATGTTTCATTCAACATGAGAATATCCTTCAGACCTCCTCAATCCCTCGAGCTCCAATGCAACTTCTTTCATTGTTGGCCTTTCCTTTCCATTTAAACTCAAGCATATCTTTGCAATGTTGGCAACCTTTTGGAGTTCATGTTTTCTACCATCTTTTAAGACTTGAGCATCAAGAATTTCAAAAAGACGATTCCCCATTATTGCAGAAATGAAATATGTGACTATGCTTCTCCCTTCTAATGGTCTAGTGAAAGAAATTGGTTCCTCCCCGGTTAGGAGCTCCACAAGAACAACCCCAAAGCTATAAACATCACTCTTTTCTGTGAGTTGACTTGACTGAAAATACTCAGGATCCAAATATCCAAAGGTCCCTTGTACCATAGTGGTTAAGTGAGTCTTATCAATTGCAATTGATCTTGAAGTCCCAAAATCAGACACCTTAGCCCTACCTTTGTCATCCAAGAGGATGTTTGAAGACTTTATGTCTCTGTGGTAAATTGGTATGGAAGTTGCTAAGTGTAAGTAAGCAATTGCTCCTGCAACTTCTGTGGCAATTCTTAAGCGATTGTCCCATGTTAACAAGAAATCTTCACTTTGATAATGGATATTGTAGAAAAGTGTTCCACCAGAGATGAATTCATAAACCAGTAGAGGAACTTCTGTCTCTAAACAACAACCCAACAATTTAACCACATTCTTATGATTGATTTGAGAAAGTATGACAACCTCATTGATGAATTGCTCAAGTTGACTCTCGTCTACTATCTTGGATTTCTTGATAGCTACAATTCTTCCATCTGATAGCATACCTTTATAAACTGTACCCTGTCCCCCTTGACCAAGAATTCGATTTTCATTATATTGATCAGTTGCCTTTGCTAATTCATCTACCGTAAAAACTTTTATTTTCTCAACATTGCCTTCTTTTGATGAAATTTGTCGTTCTAATAGCATGCCACCATTTCTTTTATAGAAAATTCCTTTGCGTTTCTTTATTTGTCTTTTCTTCAAAACATGGTACAACCAATAACTAGCTAGAAGTAGCACCATACCTAAACCTATACCTGCATGATCCATGGAAATTAAGTAGTTATGGATAACATAAGTAAGAGGAAGCTAACAAATAGAAGATTTTAATGCAACAGAGCCTATGTATGAACTTTGTTTAAAAATCTCTGATCACACATACATCTTTGAACAAAAAATGTGCATAATGGCATGGCATGCATGCCATAAAAATTTAGAGTGGTTGTATGATGTATAAAAGAAATATCAAGAAGCAACCTAAGCAATCAAACCATGTATAAAGGCCCTAGTTAGAGTCATTCATAAATGCTCATATTACAATCAAATCATGAAAAAGTATTCATAAATGCCATAAAAGTTTTGCTTGGTTTTGCTGAGATTTTCAACCAAACCGAACTAGTGCTTTTATTTGATAAAGTATACTAAATATTTAATGTTTCATTAAATGTTTAATGCTTATTAATTATTATCTTTCCCAATGACCAATTTGGCAATTCCCAATTGGGCTTTAGGCCCATTCTAACGTTTAATTAATAATAGTTAACTAAAACCTGGAGTAATTATTAATTGTTTGTTAGTAACAACCAATTTGGAAATTCCCCATTGGCATTAAGCTTTGGACCTATTCTAACTTTTAATTAATAATAGTTAATTAATTACAACTATTAGACTTTGAGGTCATTTTGACTTTTAATTAATAACACTTGTTAATTATTAAATATTCATTAATTGTTGAATGTTTACATTAATGTGGAATCAGGGTCCAAACGAGCCAAAACAAACTGGATTCAGTTATGGTCATTGCAATTCTATTGGAGAAAATGGTCAAACCAAATAGTCGGTTAGGTCCTTGGTTTTAATTGAACCGACCAATTGTACACCCCTAGGTTCAAGGGTGGTTCGAGGTTGGTTCCATTCAATTCCGGATAGAACTTTTTCATTCACTCACCCCTAAGTAGGAGTGCTTTTCTTTTTTAAATATTCATGTGATCATTCCTAGACAAAAACATAAATAGTTCCTAGCAGAAGTTCAATTAACTAAGTTAGTTGCATATTGTAAGGGTGTTTTAATGATATAGAAATTAGAGGGTAGGTTTTAACAATACTATATGAAAATATGGGGATGTTAAAAAAGTACAGGACATTTCTTTTATTGTTTGCTACTACTTCATCTCGAAGATGATTGACCTCCAACTCCCAAATGAAATTTTGGGGGTAGGCGACTTCACCCAGATCATAGGGTCATAATCCTCCAACCGGCCTAGGTTAGGCTGATTGCGATTGGTCCGGTTTTTCGTACATCAATGATCAATCAAATAAAAGAATTGTCTGAACTTCTGATTGGATATACGTTGTTCCTGGTCATGGGTAGTAGCTAGAGTGAATACAAGTATACAACGTGTGCTAGCGTGCTAGCTAGAGACTAAAGAAATACTCATGATGTAGGTGTGCCTCATGGCATCAACCAGATGGGATCCTGGCCTCACATCTCTAACTACCTCCAGCCACTCCATGGCAAGGTCAGCTATAAAAGGGGGTGCTCATCTCAAGGCAAAAGGATTTTGTTCTCACTTGCCCTCTTGCATTCAGAATCTCAAGAGAACTTTCCTTAGCTATTAAGGACTAAGCTCCGATCCCTTGTCTCAAGCCTGGTTCAACCTCTCTTTATCACTTTGATAACTTGATTGTTGGAGTCTTAACCCCTAGGATAACACCCGTGGCCTCTGACGTTTATTCTTCTCTTGCTCACAAATCAGACCCATCAGTCTCGGGCACCAATAAAATCCCCTTGTTGCCCTTGGCAGCAACAATTGGTGTCGTTTGTGGAAAACGTTTTTTAAGACTTCCCTCTATAGAAAGAATTTAATTTAATTAACTAAGCATCCGATATGGCCGATAAACAAGACCACACACACAATGCTCAAAACTTGGTCACTATGGACCAATTCAAGTTGGTCCTCGACAAACTAGACAACCTAGCCCAAAGACTTGATGAGATGGGGCATCTAAGAAGAGGCCACCCTGTTGGGAGCCAAGGGCAGTACAGTGGATGCTCCACTCATGTGCCACTGGTCCAGTACTTGATCGGCCTCGAAAAGGTTGACCCCTCAATGTCTAACAACAGTAGCCGACGGGCCAGCAAGCCCCCGCCGAAGACCTCTTGGCTCCCTATTCGAAGGGGTAATCTAGTAAGGTTCCACGACAATTGCCAGGACAACAACTGCCACCACCACCATGTAGAGAGCAATCGGAACGATGAAGGGCACTCTAGCCACTACAGTCCTCTCCTAAGGGCTAGAGGCCAATGCTATGCCTCTCCACCACTAGTGTCATATCTTCGCAATCTCCTCAACGATCATTGAGCTCGTAAGGCTCGGGATGTGCCGGCATCCAAGCACTCCAAAAATAGGGCCAACCCATTCTACGTGAGAAAGAACATGAACGAGGTCCAGGCGTCTATCGACCGATGCCTCGATAACCTCTAGGTGTAGATAGGCACCATCCAAGATCAAATCCGGTGGGTGGAGGGTCAAGGTGATGTCTCTACCAGTCAAACCCCTCATCCACTCGGATGGACACCTTCACCGACTTCATTACCTTAAACTAGCTCCCGCCTCACTTCAAGGCTCCCACTTTGGAGACTTATGATGGGAGCACTGATCTAGACGACCACTTGGAGAGCTTCAGGGCACTCATGCTCTTCTATGGGTATTCTGATGCCCTGATGTGCCGAACCTTCCAAACCACCTTCAAGGGAGTTGCGCACAGATGGTTCTCCACGCTCCCCCCTCAGTCCATCAACTTCTTGGACCAATTCGCCGTTCTCTTCCTCTCCCACTTTGTCAGCAACTAATGGTGCCAAAAGACCGTCATATCTCTTATGTTAATCAAGCAAAAGCGCGAAGCAAGTCTTCGGGCATACATTGACCGGTTCAAGCAGGAAGAGCTCGAAGTAAGGGATCTAGACCCCTCAGTCTCCATGCATGCGGCCATCAACAGCCTTCGGCCCGGACCCCTCAAATGGTCCATTTCTAAGACTCCATCCAAGAACAAGGCTGAGTTCTTAAAAAAAGCACAAAAGTACACGGCCGCCAGGAAGGCCAAAGCCAGTAAGCGCCTCTAAAACTAGAGGCCAAGTCTGACCGAGGAGCCACGGACAAGAAAAGGAAAGACAGGGGAGGCCACGACCACGATCGCACCAACAAAGGTAGTGAAGTGGCCAGCAAACACATATACTAATGCAAGTTGGGAATGAGGAGTACATGAAGTGGCCAGCCAAGATTAAAAGTAATCCCAAAAGAAGCAACCCCAAGAAGTACTGCAAGTACCACTGTGGCATTGGCTACAATACCGAGGACTGCTATGAAATCTAGGATGAGATCGAGTCCCTCCTTCGTCGCAGGCACCTAAAAGAGTATGTCAAAGATGACGCCAGCACCTCGTCCTCGCAATGCTAGCAGTGGGCTGGGCCCCAGGCCTATCACCCCTTGGCTGGAGTTGTTGATGTCATCGCTTGGGGATCAACCTAAGGCAGAGCATTGGCCTCGCCCCAAAAGTCATATGCTCGACAACTTAACATCCAAAGCCTAGAGCCTAAAAGATTGAGGCCGAAAGACGCCATCTCCTTCACCGACAATGATCTGCAAGGGATCTCACTGCCCCACGACGACGTGTTGGTAGTATCTATCACCATTGCCAACTATGTGGGGAGGAGAGTCCTCTTAGATAGCAGGTCCTTGGCTGATATCTTGTTCTACAACATGTATGATAAGATGCACCTGATGCCAGACCGGGTGCAGCATATGGACATGCCACTAGTCAGGTTCTCTGGAGAAGTCATCAAACCCAAGGGGGAGATAACCCTGCTAGTCACAATAAGGACCGAGCCTCGGCAGGTCACCCGAATAACTGAGCTCTTGGTCATGAAGATAGGCTCCCCATATAATGCCATAATAGGGAGGCGGCCGTCTCATCCTATCACCTAGCCATGAAGTTCCCTACTGAGCATGGCGTGGGAGTAGTCAAGGGGACCAACAAGTGGCTAGATAGTGCTATGCTACAACGCTAAAAGGCGAGAATTGAGGAGCCTTACCGCTAGAAGGGGATCGACCTCAGGGATGAACCGGCAAGTTAAGGTCGAACCTAAGAAGACAACATGAGCTAGGCCGAACCCACCATGAAAGCACCAATGTCAGCAAACTCCTTGGTCGAAGGCACCTTCATCCAAGCCTTCAGTCAGGCCACCAAAGGAGATGAGAAGCCTCGGCTCGCCAACACTCTGCACTCGAGTGGAAGACTAGTACTTCGCACCTAGAACGCTGAGGACATCTGAATGTATTGTCAATAATGTAAATATGACTAGTGGAAACTTTGTGAATAAAGTATGCAAGTTCCTCTCACCTTGGCTTGAGTCACTTTAGTGTTAACGTTCTCGTCTCTTCCAATCACCAGGACCCCTCGGCCATAGCACACAACCTTAACCAAGGTTATACGCTTAGACTAGATGTCGGCCCTAGGCACACGACTCTTAGAGGGTCACATGCCTAGTCACCTTCTTTAGCTAAGGCGAAAGCTTGCAGGACCTCGGCTAAAGTTAATGAGCGGGCTTTGACAACAGCCTCAGCCACAGAGACCCTCCAAAGGAGCGAGTCTTTGTGTAAGCCAAAGAACTAACATCGACCCTCCACTTAACACAAAACATGATGCACAAACACACTAAATGAACAATGCTACCTCACCAAGGCAAAGGCACTCTACGACCTCGACTAAACACCATTCGTTGGGCCTCCACCACACATGAGTCCAGACTCTAAACCCTTAAGGAAGAATACACCAGGCAGGCTAAGGCAACCACCTCCCCTATTTCTTGCGAAGGAAGTGGGTACTGAGACCTCGACTATGAGAGTCGGCCTCGGCTTGACAACCTTGAGGAGGAATGCCTTCGTAAGTAGCTAAGCCAGGAGTTATGATTTCTTTTTCTTTTTTGCAAATTATGCCTCTTTGGGGGAGGCATTGACCCCTTGCATAAAAAGAAAGA